CAGACGACTGGAAATTATTTGAGCAAAAGTGGTTTGAGAGAATTTGAAAATGACTTTTCTACAGTATATGATTATAATAAACTTAAGTGCTCTCCATAATTGTTCTCACGCATTTTTCTTCTTTTGATTTCTATATTACCTCCGTAGTGTGTGGATCTTGTCTTAGTCTCTTGGTAAAATATACATATTCTAAGATAATTTAAATCGAAATCACGAGATCATCTCAACGTTTCATAAACAAAACAAAATCATTGAACGGTGAGCTTTGAGTTTTGATGGCATCATATACAATCAAATTTAAAAATACTAGAAAGTGGCAATGAAAACACGCACAAAGAACTCGTCAAATATAAACATCATCTTTCAATAACGAAAATATCTGTTTTACTTTAAAACAAAGTATCAACGTGGGCCGAGTTAGAGAAACCTTCTTAATTAAGACAAGTTTAAGAATCACTAATTGATGCAAACCAAAAGTAATTGTGGAAAATATCTCATATCATTGAACATATCAATGTTTTACTAACGGCAAAGGGAAAATATCGCATATCAATGATATCATTGTACATATACACTGATGCACAGCAGAGAGTTCAAGAGAATCAAAGCTAGACTCTCGGAACATTTTTAGAGCACAAGTTCCTTAATGAATCCATGAACAAACATACATATACCTTTCAGTAAGACACTATAACTTGCAAATGGCCATGATTAAGCTGAAAACGATGTAATTGGACCAAATCTAACTAGAAGATGTATCCATAATTATATACAGGCTAAACAAAGTATTAATGAAGAAACAAATTCATCCTTTCACTGAGACATCAATGTTGGACACTCGGAACAGCTCTAGAACACAAATTCCTTAAGAAACCATGAACATATGAATCTATGAACACTCAGTTACTAGCAAATATAGTCGCTGGAAAACATGATTCAGATTGATAAGCATTGATGCACAACAGAGACAAACCTATTTTCATCGGAGTCCGGATGGATTGAGAGAAATTTCCCAGGGAAAGTCAAAGCAGCCCACATTCACAGAGCCAGTCCAATGATCAAAGTACAAACAACCTACGAATTCAATCATAAGACATCAAAGCTTCATACTGCTGAAAAAAATCCAAGACAATTGAGGAAAAGAGAAACATTTATTGACACACATTTTCATCAGCGGCCCACAAAACTCTTTGTGATCTTCAACATTCCCCAATTTGAAGAAGAAAAATCTACGTCAACAAACTAGATGATATCCCGTATTACGATTAGATATCTTACTAAAGTTGGTCATTTTCCACAGAGTTATAGCAGTTGAATTTAGTGATTTTGTATACATAACTATCAACTCAAGGCTGAAAAAAAAAAAACAGTTTTCCATGCCCACAAGGAAGAAGAAGAAAAAACTTTTGTTCCACAGACAGTAGTTGCAGCAGATTCCAAGACAATGTACTTAAAGAAGAGCTAGAAATGTACTGAAAAAAGAGCTTGATTCTTACAATTCTGTTTCTTTTTGACGCCAATCTATACAGTGTTTATAACAGACACATTTCCGGGTCATACTTCGCTTAATCTCTGCAGAGTTATTTGGACCAACGGGTTCTTGTAAGCAACTTGATATTGCCATCACATCAGCTTCAATGGATTACATCTTCTCTCTAACTTCAAGACAACTTGTTAGCAGTTAAATGCAAGAGGAATAAAAAGGCGATAGAGGAGTGTACTTAATCCTTCTTGCTTTCTCTATACATCAAAACATGTTACTGTATTTCCTAGCCAACTCAACTCCAGAAACTAGGAGGTATGTCTAAATCAATCGTAGCCCCAACACTGAAATTCGAAATGTGCTCTGTTTCAAATCCGGTTATCACTGTCAGTTTCCCATTGGACACTTCAAGAAATTATCAGTGAGATTTGGGATGTTTCCAGTTCAGTCAGATCAGAAATCTCTAGCACAAGGCAACAAATCTAATTGATATAAGCAAGAAAGATGCAAAAGTATATTCAAGTGCTACTGTCAAATCCAGAAAAATGGAAGCTAATACAGGACACAACCTGGCCATTAGAGAGGAAACCAGCAACATCAATGACAGTAGTGAACTCTTTAGAAAGCAGCTCTGGTTTGTTAACTCCCACTTTTGCCTCTGCAAATCCCACCACACCTACAAAAAAGATTCAAAATTCTTTGAGAATTTGAAATTGGGAAACTTTACTGTGCCATGGTTCATAACTCATAATCTTGGAAACAAGAGATTGTTAGGTCGTAGTACAGTGGCACCCCCAAATTCACAAGCTTTTGACTTTGATGTGCCCAAAGAATTCAGTTTATACAATAAGAAGCTTGCAATTGATGCGCAAACAAGTTTCAAACTTTGTGATTGTTCAATCAATGATGATGGTGACAAGGAAGGATCGTAAGAACAAACAAAGAAACGAACCTGACAGAGATAAACCGAGAGCGAGAGCTCCAGAGAAGACCAGACCGAGAGATTTCGATCGGAAACGAGAAACCCAGTTCTCGGCGCCGGAGGATTTCAACTTCAACGAGAAACGCGGTGATGAAATTTCTCCGGCGACTTGGATGAATACAAAAGGAGAGAGGCTTCTACATTGTGAAGGAGGAAGAGGATTCAGAAAGAGCATCGCCATGCTCCTTGTTTGTTTGCTAGTTGCTTGCTACTGTGCTTTGATTTTTTTTCTTTCTGGATAACGTTAAAACGCTCGCGACTATTCTCGGGTCGATATTTCGGTATAGAATGGAAACCGATTAAACCAAAGTAACCGGAATGAATAAACCGGATAGAATGGTCAACAACAATTTGGAGAACACACAAAAAAAAGAGTTTTCTTACACACGAAATTTCAAGATATTGGCCATATCAAATCTTTGCCAAAACAGTACAACACAAAACAAATTACAGCAACAACAATGACCATTAAGCCAGTGCATTACTGCTAGTTAGCAGCACAATGTAGGGAGCAAACTATGGATCCCAAACGATGGAAATATATTTTGTGTTGACAACGCTCCTGACAAACCACGCAAATGGGTCGAGACATATGACTGTTGCGCAGAACATCTAGCTTCTTACCAAAGTGGATCAACGATGACCCCGGTTTCATATACATCTCCACCCCTAACAGACATTCAACGTGTAGGGTAACACAACAGTACTCCTCACACTTATAAAACCGCTCCTTCGGTTTTAATTTTCTCTCGCATACTTCACACCAATACGCCCCGGTTCTTATCTCTATACCATAGGTAAGAGTGAGCATATGCTTATCATGCTTGTACCTCACCTTTTGAGGCAAAGTAGCACACTTGAAACACAAAGCAAAGTCACACTCCTCAATGCAATTGAATGTTTCTGTGTAAGCATCTCTTAAATCTTTACAAGCCGAACATCTTCTTCGCTCTCCTGGTTTGGATGTTAGGAATAAAGGATGTATATGACTTGGATGGACTAACGGCTCAGAAATTGTCCCGCACTGCACGTGTACCTTAAAATGACATCTTTTTTCACTGCATCCATAGAAGAAACCAGTGCGCAACCAAGGACAAGCTGAACATGAAATCCCAGCCTCAGTTACATCGTTGTCATCTGTCTCTAGAGTGAGCGGATGCGCATGTATTGGATGATGTATTTTGCGAGAAAGATTTGCACATGTTTCGTGTAGAATGAACTCACATTGCATACAAGAGTAGAAATTTCCGCAATAGATGGGCATGATGCATGCTTGACACTCTTTATTCTCGTTGTAATCTCTGTCTTTGTTCTCATCAAGACTCAGATGATGATGTGCGTGGCTGAAATGTTGTATGATTCCGTCGCTTATCCTCACAAACGGTTCGACTTCTTCTTCAATGGCCTCAGGCACTCCTTCAAGGTCTATGCCATCCCACACATTTCTCTGTGTGGCACATCTTGAATGAGACGCATATGAACAGCCATGATTGGTGCATGAATAACCCCCGTACTCATTGTCCATCTCTTTGCGACAAACACCACAAGACCAATCCCCTTGGTCAAAAGAGGGGGTAAAAGAGATACGATGAAGATGCCGAGATATCTTAATTACACGTGGTAAGCTGGTACATCTTTGATGGACGACAAATTCACAAGGGGGACATATATAGAAAGGACAGCTCGAATGGGTCAATGCACATACATTGCAAGTTATCGAAGCTTGTCTTGGAAACAGATAAAGTGAATGCTCATGCCACTTTTGATGGTCTACAACTGCGGGTCGTTCTTTCTCAGAACAAGCTATATTCATAGCATAATCGCAAGCCGAGCAATAATAAAATACCTCTGCGAGATATTCCTCACAGCAATAGCATTTCCTAGCTATTACCCCACTCAACAAGACAAGCTGAAGAGAATGTTTTTGATGAAGAAAGTGTTTGACCTCAAGTGGAGCCTTGACGTATTCTTCATGGTCCTCGCCGTTGCAAGTTGGGCATCGAAAATGAGCAGTGAGTTCTCCTGTTATTATCCTGTAGAAGTCCATGTTTCTACGGTAACATTCCCCCTTTCTATTGTTCCTCTGTTGCACTTTTGAAGTCGCACATAATTTTCCTTGTTCAAGTTTTACTTCTACTTGAGGGCACAAGGAAATAAACTCCTTTGACTCTGAATTGGCCAGAGCTAATATTTGAGTAATGAGTAATATAAGCTCCGGCTTCGGCTCGAGAGTGAATAGTTGTTCAATGAGTGCCGCATTCGCCTCCAACTCTGCCTCCCCCTCTGAATCTGAATCTATAGAGCTGGCGAGAGCTTGATTAAAGAGTATTATGAGCTTGTACTCGGGTTCCGAATCAGATACAGAGCTAGAGATATAAATTATTCGCTTAATGAGTGATATGACCTCCGATTCTGGCTTCGGCTGCGAATCCAAATCCACGGAGCCAATGAGAGCATTCATTTGCTTACAGAGTGATGCACCCTCCAATTCCTGCTCTGGGTACGGATCCCTAGAGACGAGAGATATATATTGAGTAATGAGTGATAGGATCTTCGACTCCAAACTAGAATTCATAAAGATGACGAGCGACATTATTTGATAAATGAGTGATATGATCTCCGGCTCAGGCTTGAGAGAGGAAACTTGATCAACTAGAAATATGAGCCTCTCATCCGGATCCGGATCCGAATCTTTAGAGATGACGAGAGATATGATTTGAGAAACGAGTGTTACGAGCTCCGACTCTGATTCGGATTGTTTGAACAGAGAGATCGTTTGCTTAATGAGTGATATGACCTCTGAATCCGGCTTCGGCAGCGAATCCAAATCCATGGAGATGACCAAAGAGATTATTTGAGTAATTAGTGATAGGATCTCCGACTGCCGCACCGTATACGAATCCGTAGACGTGCCAAGAAAAGCTATTTGAGTAATGAGTGACAAGAGCTCCGCCTCCGAATCCATATGGAGTTGTCGAGAGATTCTTTCTGAACTAGTATATGAATGGTATGAAAGATTTTGAGCAATAATCAACTTGATGCTCTCTATTTTTGTATGTTTTCTCACCGCTTTTCTATATTATCGTAGCTTGCGCATCTTGGCCTCAACATATATACACACACAAATATCACAATATAATTAAGACAGAAACTCACGAGACCAGTTCAAGCTAACAGGCTGTCAGACTAGAAAGTCAATTGTTTAGAGATTATAATATACTCCATTTTCACGACGGCTAAAAATGCGAATATTAAAAAATTATTTTTTTTCTAAAAC